ATAAAAGAATTTAGCAATTCATACCGTATATTGGATTAAAGAACAATTCACAAACTTACTCAAAGGACATTCCCTTTAGCCTTAGCCAGAGTTCTAGCAACTCATTACAAAGGAAAACATCACTAAATTTTGAATGAAATGGATAAAGAAATCTGTCGTCTGGATCCTTGCCAAATAAGTTGATGGGTGATTTATAGTAGTCAATGAGGTGAGTGGGAAGTTAATACATTCGTGGTAGGTAATGAAGGGTTTAAGTGAGAGATTCATTGGATTAAACATGTGATGATGGTGGAGAGTTGGTGGAAAAGAAATAACGGTGTGGTAGTTGGCGTTAAATGGCTATGAATGACATGAAATAGGCTCTTTAGCTTCAACGGTTTTTGTCTTCTCTTTTCCTTCTTTATAATTACAATAATCCCACAATCAATTCTTCAATAAAATCCACCAACAATTCTCTTCACACCGGGCTTGAACTTGGACAAATGTATGTTCATCTTTTGGCTTTCCAACTTCCTACAAAAGATAAATTTACCTTAACATCCACAATGAGAATCAACTGAGAGTCCACGATTCTCAAGCTCAAACGCTCAGATGATTCTCATGTCAATGATTGTGGGTGATGTCATATATCAATGAAGCATTTCTTAGATTTTACAACCATGTTCTAGTTTCTTGTTGGTTTTATGTAGGTTATTTGTGTCTAGTTTTGTCCCTCTTATTTTGTTTGACAATTTTTTGTGCTTTATGTGTTCCACTTTTTGCAATTTTCTCTTGTTGGTATTCTAGGTTAGGAAGCTCTTTGCCAATTAGTATGAGTTTCTTAGGTCTTTTAGTTTTTTATTTTGGTTCTCTTGTCTTAGTTAAGTGGTGTAGTTTGGTCTTGTTTGTTGTTGTTTCATTTTGTTGGCAATGAGATGTATTTTATAATATAATGATTTTCTCAACTTGCAAACGGTGTTGGGACTGAGTGTCATAGAGATCCCTGATGGTGGTTCCATATACACTTCTTCTTGCAAGTCCCCATGAAGAAATGCATTCTTTACATCATACTGCAGTAATGGCCAGTCAAGATTTGCAGCCAATGATATGATAAGACATACAGTGTTGATCTTGGCAATAGGTGCAAATGTCTCCTGGTAGTCAATTCCATATGTCCGTGTATACCCTTTGGCCACTAATCGAGCTTTGTATCTGTCTATGGATCCATCAGCTTTGTATTTAACAGTGTATATCCACCGACATCCAACTGGTTTCTTCCCTTGTGGTAACTAAACCATTTCCCATGTAGAATTCTTTTCCAAAGCTTCCATTTCAATTTCCATTGCTTCAGCCCATCTGGAATCTGTTATAGCATCCTGCCACTTATTTGGAACACATACAGTAGACAATTGATTGACAAATGATGCATATGACTTTGACAATCTATGAGTTGAAACATGGTTATTAATGGGATATTTTGATTTGGCAGTAAGGTCAGGACAATATTGAGGTTTAGGTTTTCCTCTAGTAGTCCTAGGTGGGAGAGTGTATGGTATAACATTAGGTGATTCGGGAATTACCTCGAGTGTTTCTTCATCACGAGACGATTGGTCTGATGGTTGAGAAGGAGGGGTTGTATTTGTAGTTGATCACAGCAAACATTTGGATTGTCTTCTCTGGGATCTTCACCAAATAAGAGCGACAATTTTTCAGTACCTTCATCGCTGTCCAAATAACCATCTTCAAGTTCACAGGGGATCGGCGATCGGTCGCTGGGTTCTGCGCGACCGGTCACATTTGGACAGATTGGTATTTCATCGCTGGAGCCATGCGACCGGTGGCTGGGGTCCGTGCGACTGGTCGTTTCTGGAATGCAACCGGTCGCTTCTGGCCTGCGACCGGTCGTATTTGGACATATTCGATTTTCAGCATCGCTGGAGCAAGGCGACCGGTGGCTGGGGTCCGTGCGACCGGTCGTTTCTGGAGTGCGACAGGTCGCTTCTGGCCTGCAACCGGTCGTATTTGGACATACTTGAATTTTTTCTTCCTTCTCTTCATTCCTCCTCTCCCCCTGAAGAGAAGGGGGCGGAGAAGCTTCAAAGTATGATAAATCTTCATGGAATGTGGCATCCATAGTGACAAAGAGCTTGCGAGTAGGACGATGGTAACACTTGTATCCTTTTTGATTTGATCCATACCCAACGAACACACAACGAATGGCACAAGGGTCCAGTTTACTTCTGTGATGAGATGGAACATGAGCATATACAACACAACCAAATATGCGAGGAGGCAGCTTGAGGACTGTAGGAAGAGAGACATGACGAGCCAAGGTGTTCAGTAGAGTTTGAAACTTCAAAACACTACTAAGCACTCGATTAATTACATAGATTGCAGAAAGAAGGGCATGTCCCCATAAGTAGTGAGGGACCGATTTATCCAGCATGTATGCACGGGCAACCTCAAGTAATTGTCAATTTTTTCGCTCTGCGACACCATTTTGTTGTGGAGTAAAAGATGTGGAGGTTTGATGAATTATGCCGTGGTCGCGGAAGAATTGTGCCAAGACATTGTTCACATATTCCCCATCATTATCAGACCAAAATACTTTGATGGAGGCTTGGAATTGTGTGGTAATCATAGCATGAAATTCACGGATTGCAGCAGAAACATCACTTTTATGAGCTAGTAAGTATACCCAAGTCATGCGAGTGCAGTCATCAATAAATGTAACAAACCATCTTTTGCCATTGGAAGAAACTTTAGCAGGACCCCAAACATCAGACTGAACCAAATCAAAAGGAAATTCCGTTTTATTATCACTGAAGGGAAAAACAGTTCGATGACTTTTGACCAATACACAGGTTTCACACCGAAACTGATGATTATCTAAGCCACGGAACAAAGACGGAAATAAATGTTGAAGATAGCCAAAGGATGGATGTCCTAGGCGACGATGCCAGAACCAAATCTGGTGTTGATTGCGAGCTTGTGAGCTGGAACCATGAGTATGAGCTGCCCTTGGTGGTGAAGAGACCATCAAGGAATACAAACCCCCTCTTCGTTTACCATGCCCAATCGTCACGTGAGTCGTGAGGTCCTGAAAAATACAATGGGAAGGATAGAATGTGGCATAACAATTATGTGAGTCAAGCAATTTTCCAACAGACATCAAATTGCAATTGATGGAGGAAACAAGTAGTGTATGAGATAAAGATAAGGAAGGGGAAAGTGATATAGTTCCTTCCCCAGCAACATTAGAAGGAACTCCATTGGCACTAGTGATGTAAGGATGACGAGACTTAGAGGATAATGTGGAAAACATAGTAGAGTCAAAGGTCATATGATCAGTGGCACATGTGTCAATTATCCATGTAGTGGGTCATGTACCTGATTCAGAGTCGGAGAGTAGGGTGGAAGATAGAGAAGCATTGGTAGTTATAACACACGCTGCCTTGGGTGTTTTGTTGCGGGACTTGAGAGCATCCCACCACTCAAGATAACCATGAAGCTTAAAGCATTTCTCAACAAGATGATTACCACCACAATGAGTGCACTTCTGAGTTCCCTTCGCATCTTTAGTTTTGGGACCCCAGGGAGGAAGTCCGAAGTTGATTGAGTTGTTGGTGTCACCCATGAGGTAAATAGATTAAGAGATGTAGAGAAAGAAATAGCTTAGAACTTCAGCAATCAAGAGCACAAATAAGACTTGTGATCAAGACCAATTTTGAGGCAAGGCAAAGTATGAGATAAGAACAATATAACAGCAAATTATGGGCAAGGATAGGTAGAGATTAGGCAAGAACAAGGTTATGCAGAGGCAACCAAAATCGATTGCTCTGATACCATGCCAAAGATAGTGTAATTGAGAGAGTAGAGAATGTGAAATGTGAGAGGTTTTGCAGAGAATACAAAATCAGCTTCTTGTATTACTATCTTGAGGAGATTTATACAAATGTAGCTAGCTAACTATTAGTTACAAACAAGATCACAAAGCATGGATTATTTCCAGAATTTGTGTTTCCCTAAAACATGGAAATGAGTTTCTATAAACATAGAAATGTGGAAGTGTGATAGACAAGCTTTTCCTTGTTTTAGGGAAGCTGTCTGTGTCTTGTTTATGTCTTGACTAACATATGATACTTTAAACAGCCTATTGCAGGAAGAAAAGTGGTATATCTCTCGTTCCAAGCTCTTGATTGCTGCGTAAAACCATACAAGGATTTATGTAATTTACACATATAATTAGTATGTCTAGCTATGGTGCCATCCACATTCCTTATATACCAAACTTC